TAGTACAAAATATATGAACTTCATATATTTCATTGTATCTCAAAGCGGATAATCCCGTGTAGGGCTTCGTGTTGCTTACTCAGTCGGTTCTCCAATCAAATCACAGGATTTTATAAACATTGAGAAATAAATAAATGCTGAATAAAACAATAACTTGTTAGCTTTCCAAAGAAGTGGGAAGGTGTTCTTTCTTCCTTTTTTTTTTCAACAGAAATTCTTGGTTTGCCTTCGTGTACAGAAGATAACGGCGGCTGTCAACATTTCTGTTTGTCATCAGATGATCGCATAGTTTGTAAGTGTAAAGATGGATTGATCACTGAAAATAATGGAGCCGTATGTTTAGGTGAGTGCTCACGTAGAAAGCCTTGGCTCATTATTATTTAAAGGTCTTAGTAGGTCATATCTATAATGAAGTGTTGGCTTACTGCAATATTCATTTGTCGCGCTATGCACAGTTCGTAAGATGATTAAGCACCCCCTACTATGCTTAGATCTCAGGTCTAAAATGGCTAGGAAAGCACACTCTAAGGTCTCAAGGATGTTGGCTTCCAGAACGTCAAACATTAAAACAAGTCCTATTTCACGATAGGAACGTTTAGTCTCCTCAGAGCCCTGGAGAGAAAGAGAGTAAAACAAGACAGAGGCGTGTGTGGCCCCGCGCATATAGTCAAGGATAGCGTGTTTATGATAATAGAAGGTCAAGTGGAATATTGAAACTTTCCTCCAGAAAACTTTTGTTTTTTGTTTTTTTTTTCATCTATTTCGCACAGATCCTAGGATGTATTGGTCACAAGAAGCTCAACAAAAAGCCAGCAGCTCGTACAATATGGCTCTACTCGTCATACAGTTGTTATCACTTATTCTTCTCCTTCCAATGGCGCTGGTTCTGGTGTCGTTCTACAGAAGAGTTTCAAAGCAAAGAAGACGAGCAAAGGCACAACTTAATGCCGCAGTGGTGAATTCACCAATGCCTCAAGATGAAAGCTTCGGAAATCAGAACACCCGGCTTACTAACGCAACGTATGAAAACAGTTGCATTAATGATAATGTCTAGTTTGCTGAAAGATATAAGCACATCTAAATCTTAACTGATCGATCAGTATGGTTATTCAAACCTGTAAGTTACCCCATAAGATATTAAGGAAATAATTGTTCTGTATGGTGCGGTTGAATTCTTTCGAGTTTTAATCCACGAGGGAAATAAATTGGGAACAAACCTTGCTCTCACTTTTTTTTTTGCACCGCCAAACGTTTGTTTATCACCCGCTTTCAATATATGTACTTCGGGGTGGGATGATTCACAGTTCATCCAATTTTATCGATTTGCGAACATTTGCATACTGCACACAGTGACGGATCCAGACCTTGAGCTAATTAAGGAGGTGGGGTGGGGTGGGGGTTGGGGCGTTCTTGTTTGTGTGTGTTCACCTCCCGGCTTTTCTTCCCTCTGCATCTACTTTTTTACCCAAAATAAGGGGAGGTGGCCAGCCCCCGTGTCCCTCCCTAGATCCGGCACTGGTACATTACGATATGATAGAATCGGGAAAATTCACTCACCACCTCCTACAAAGCTATCTGCCGAGCCAGCCACTGTCACGCAGTCCAAGTTAATCCCATCTCTTTGCCCCACAGACCTTTCTCACCTATGACTTCGCCTCACGTCCAACCATATCCAAGGGTTAGAGACTCCCAGCTCATGATTTACTGAACAAAAAATAAACGCGCTTGCTGGCTGCACAAGGGGTGTTCCTCTCTTGTTGGGTCAACAACACAGATTTAGCGTAGTTTTTTCTGACTTAAAATCAACGCATCGGTCCACAAAGCTTATTTAAACAGATTAGGACAACACAAAACACTTCACTGAAAAGTTCAATTTGAAGAAGACCGATCCTTTACCGTTTATTTCTCCCAGTTTTGAGTTTTTTTACTTTAACAAAGAAGAAATTTGTGGTTTTACCTTTATACATACGTAATTTTGCATGTTCCAAAATATCATAGACACTTCTTTAAAAGAAAACTACGTTCTGTACTTTAGCACTACACCTGACTTTCAATATTGCAAAGATTCTGTGCTTCCTCTTTTCCATTGTTGACTTTTTTCGGCCCTTCATTTGATTTCTTAGACCCAGGCTTCTTGCAGCAATAAAGCTTATAGTCCTCAGCCCAGGCTTCGGCCTGTTCCACGGTTTGGGGCATGGGACTGAATAGCGTCTCTGGCAGCCATAAACCCACTATACCAGCGGTTACTCCAAGTACTCCAAAGATGACCAGCGGAAGCGTTCTATTAAGATTTGGAAGGTCCGCCTTGAGGGAGAAATTATACAACTTAACAAAAAAGATATAAGTTGGGGCTGCTAGCCTTGTCCGACGAAGGGCTAACGCTCGAAACGTCAGCTTTTGTAATCGTTACAGTGGCCAATTTACCACTTCAACTTTGTTGATATATCCAAATTATTTCGTTACTCCCACCAACGAAGTCCCAAACAGTTTCTTTCGAAACTATCAGGCTTTATTCATTTGTCGATGAAAGGTTAAGGATGATAGATATCTTACCAGTAGAACTATGTAAGGTGCCAATATTGCTCCAATACGGGCCATCATAGAGGAGACACCCACAGCAGTGTTCCTAACGATATAGATTGAACAAATAGAATCTGAAGGGATAATCAAGTGGTGTAAACGAGAGTCACCAAGAATAAAATCTCAGTTTCGACAAATAGCATATTTAATTTATTGCAATGAAATCATGTATGTTGTTAAATGAAGAAAGTTTGGTATCGTTCTGACTTGTTACTTACCTGATGACGGTCGGGAAAAGTTCGGCAGTGAAAACGTAGATGGTCAGAAAAGTGGATAAGATACAGAACTTTCCGATCATGGCCAAAGTTGTGATCACTGCTTGGTAGCCTAAGAACAACACGATCAAGAGTTGAGCTTTGATAGTCATAAATAGCTTTCTGGCCGACTGCCTGTTATGTAGATGAATGACTGACTGTTTGTCAGACTGATTGACCTACTGATCAAGTGTCTGTCCGACTTCCTTACTGACTGACAGTTTGTCTGTCTAATTGATGGACGGACCGATCGACGAACGAATGATGGAACGTAAGGGTGGAAAGATAAATGTGCGGGCAGACATACTGTAAGTGGATGGTGTAATAAAAGAGAATGACTGGCTGACCGACTCAACTAGAAATGTTTGTCAAGGAAACTGTTATACTGCGTTGGAAGGCAGTGAAGTGAAGCTGATTAATAGTTTCTTAACCATAATTTTCGTCAGCAGTACGTTCGACAACTTATAATTCAGCCCTCTTACCCGCTTTGCTTGGAACAGCTAACACCAGCATGCCGGCAATTCCACCAATCAACATGAAGGCACAATAAGGAATGCGGCGACCGAACCTTAAAAAAAAAAATTGTTTTATTAAACAATTGAACCAATCTTTATACGCTCCTGGAACTTTCTTTTTTTTCGTACGTCGATAATTGTCAGCAACTGAATGCCCACATTATTTGTAGAGTCAGTTTGTTACTGAAGTTTTCTTTTCCAATAACCATTGGTCGGAAAGCTCTGCTGACTAGTTTGTAGACCGTTGTCCAAAACGAGATAGATGGATAGATAGATAGATAGTTAATAAAAATATTCAAATTCACAGACTCCTAAGGCCGACTTGCAAGAAATTCACTTATACATTTATAAAATAATAATTTCATGTAATATAAAATGACTGTATAAAAAACTCCGTATAAAAGTTCTACCGATTGGACATGGATGGAATGAATGTATTCGTGTAACGATTTGTGCGCATTTTTGGAAACATAAAGTTGCGGTGGTTTCTAAAATTGTATCTGCAAATGTTCTTACCTCTGAAGACAAAACCACGCCAACAATGCACTGGGTAACTCGATGATAATCAAGATGAAGAAGTTAAGGTACATGTCTCCGGCGAGATTCTTCACGTTCAAACTTATTCCAAAGTACACCAGAGCATTTACAAACCTAAACGTCAAAAACGAAACACAAAATGGATCCATTCAAGCGTATAAACACACCAAAGAACCGAAACACACACAAAAAAATATATATTTTTTGTATATATATATATAGTGTGACTTGATTTTCGTAGAACAGTGCTCAATACATAGAAGTAGAGCGAAGTATATATTGTGGGAGGAAAAAGACAAGTAAACTACAAGTTCATCTTGAACTTGTAGTTTACTTGTCTTTTTCCTTCCACAATATATATATATACACACAAAATAAATAATCTTCCGATCACGTTTTTCTTACCAATTAAAACAGCAGATAATAATTCTCTTTCTCAGCTTTGGTGTCCTAAACAAATCGAAAGTCCCGTATTTCCGAGTGTCATTTTTCCTGACGTCAGCCTTCCTTACTTCCGAGATCACGTGCCTCAACTGTTTAGGGTCAACAATGACGGCATTTTTGGCGGCGTACTTCATGAGCAAGCCATGAGCCTCATCTAGACGATTGTTAGCAACAAGCCAGCGCGGAGACTCCGGAATCCACCTTTCTGATGTCAAGAGAAAGTGATGCTATTTTAGCAATAGTAAAACCAAACCAAAGTAAACACAACGGTCAATTAGGAGAAAGGAAAAAACCTTTAAGAGTCAATGGGAACTCAAAGTTAAAACCGACCAACTGCTTTAAACGGGGAAAAAGGCGTGCAACCAAGTCGAGATTGGTTTCAATTTTGGATCTGATTGGTTGAGAGAGTGACGTGAGTATTCAGGACCAATCACAAAGCGAAGTAAAGCACAAATAGACGACTTCCGGATTACCTTCGACACTCAATTGGAAAAATTGAAAATTGGTCTAATGGGCTTTAAAATGACGGTAAAAGTTAGGGAATTTTTTAGATGATTTCCTACTTTCACATTACAGTAAAAACAACTTACCACCAGAAAAAGAGCAATGAAACGCCTGGTACCGAGACTGCAAGCATCAGATGTCTCCAGTCTCTGATGAAGTAGGCCAGTAAAGATAAAATAGCGTAACCCACAGTCATGAAGATGTTGCTGACAAACCCCGCAGCAGTCCTGTTTGACGTAACTGACAGCTCCACGCAGTAAACGAAGCGAGAGAGTAGACATCCAGCAGCGGCGGCTCCTGCACCGACACGGAACAAGGCGAAAAGAGAGAGGCAGTCTGCAACTGCAGAGACGGCGCCACACACTGCCTGAAATAGGGACAAGCCCTGCTCATAACCAGCTTTGTTGATGATACATTTAACAAGTAGATACCATGTTGCCGTGCGTTTGTTGAGTAATAGCTCACAGATGACGTCAAAATGGGGTAAGAAAAAAAAAAAAGGTGACACAAAAGGGGCAGCCGAGTGTGTCACTTATGTATACTGCACTGGATCTTCCACAGGGTGGAGATTAGTTTTGTTGGCAAAAATGACTTTGAAAATGAAGAGACATGATGTTTCTTGGGCGAGAATTCCCAGTGTGCACTTCTGCAGAAATTAATATCCGATTTTCGTCAACGGGTAGAGTTTATGATAATTGCAAAGTATCAAGTCTATGTCTGTCTTCAAACATCCGCGTACTTTATGTCAGAAGACAGATTTTTTTTGAGGGACTAGTCATTAATTTTCACCAAAAAGGGGGGGGGAAGAGAAGGAGCCAGGGGGATCACATGGTTGTGTGTGTGTGTGTGTGTGTGTGTGGTCACTCCAACAGACTAGTTATCGAGTGTGCAGTGGCAGATCTAGGAGAGGGGCCCGCCCCCACTTAGTTTGGGTAAACACACAAAAACCGGATCTCCCCTTAGCTCAAAGTTTGGATCCGCCACTAGAGCGGTCATTGCGAGATGCACTCACCAAGAAGGCGATACTGAGGAAAACAGCGATCCTTCGTCCCAAAAGGTCAGATATGCTGCTAAACGCATAAGAACCAATAAGAAGTCCTGCCAAGTATGCTGCTTGAGTCAACGCTTTGAGATGATTTCTGTCACAGATCAACTCCCACTGAAAAAAAAAAATATTTTGTTTCGGTATGAGGTTGATAGATTCTCATTTTGTGAAATAATAATAAGACATTTATAGAGCGCCCTTTCCCATGGGTCCAAAGGCGCTATTCACAAAGTCACAGTTCAAAAATAGTTTAAAATAATCAAAATTAGTTAGTTAAGATTATAAAACACCAAGATCATTTCATGAATTTAAAAAGCACGTGTAAAAAGAGCAGTTTTAAGCCGTCTTTTAAAAATGTCAAGTGATCCAGCATCCCTAACATGCTGAGGAAAACTGTTCCGGCAGAGAAGCGGTGCGACAACAGAAAAAGCACGACGACCATAACTATCTGTGTGGAAGGCAGGAACGACAAGTAGATTCTTCGTTGAAGACCTAAGGTTGCGTGGTGGTTGATAGTTTTTGAGAAGGTCTTTAATGTAGTTAGAACGAGACCATGAAGAGCCTTGTAGGTAATAGTAAGTATTTTAAATTCAATTCGGTGATCAATCGGCCGGAAGCTAATGGAGTTTTTTGAGAACAGGTGTAATATGGAAAAACTTTGGTGAAACAGTATGAACACGAGCAGCTGCATTCTGAACACGCTGAAGCTGTTTAATCAGATACTTAGGTAAACCACATAATAGCGAGTTGCAGTTATCAAGTTTTGATGTGACTAGGGCATGAACATGAAGAAGCTGAGCTGCATTAGCGGTGAGATATCTTCGAATGATACTAAGTTTACGAAGATGATAGAATGCCGATTTGCAAATTGAGGAGCTTGAGGAGCAAACTTGAGGAGCTTGAGGGCAAACTTGAAGAGCCATATTTAGAGATTCATCAAAAAGAACTCCAATGTTACTTGCTCTTGAAGAAGCCAGCACTCTCTCATCACAGACATGAATAAGTGACAAGGCTGGTCGAGCATGGTTATGAGATGATATGACAAGAAGCTCAGTTTTGAATAGAAGTAGGGTAGAGGGCTTAAACCCAGGAACGCCATACAAGACCTGCTCCCAACTGCCTCAAGTTCGATCATGGGAGTCAAAGGGTGTTTCTAGAATTCTTGACCGTCTGTATTTGAAGTATCGTGTCGTGCATTCAG